TACATATAACCGCAATGTAATGTTGATTGTGTGATGTATGCTTGCTATGTGAAACAATGTGCAGTATCATATTTGATTACAAGACACTTTAAAACATTAATCAATAAGACACAATAATGGTTTTTTTTTTTCTTAATGAAACATTAAGCATTTGTTTAGCACAACTTATCAGAACATCATTTTTTCTCATACTTATTTTCAATCACACATTCTTCTAATAATATAATTTTTCACATGAATCCATAATATTTCTTTACATTTTAAGCACATAATCTCCAAAAAAAAATCCAGTTTTATATTTTTGCTTTAGGTTTTTAAGTTACTATGTGGTTTATGATATATGACACATAATTCATACAATGAATGTGAATGCACTACAAAAAAACTCAAAAAATTTCCGTAACTAATATGTTTTAGCAACGAAAAATCTCCATTAGTAAATCTGACTCTGAAACCCTTGCCAGTAATTTACTTATGACTAGAGAATCCGTCGCCAATTATCAACAAACTAGCAACAAAATTTCTGTCAGTAATTACAAATGGATTGAATCGGATTTTGTAACAAATTTCTTCGTCATTAATTACCAATGGATTGAACTCGTTAATCAGCAACAAACTTTCGTTATTATTTTCGTTGCTAATCGGACTATTTTTTTAAAAACAAATATATATATTTTCTTGGAGTCTAAATATATTAAAGTTTTATTTCAAAAAATATAATAAAAAGTTCTAACATTGAAATTTTAATGGAAAAACTAACAAACTATGCGATGAAGTTTGAAGAATTTCACTTTCTGTATTGTTGCTTTGTTTCAAAAAATATAACACACAGAAGTTACAAGAGTTTGTATGTACAAATAAATACATGTTTACAAGGACCGTTCTAAGTAAGTATCCTAGAATTAAGGCTGTCAGTTACCAAGTATAAATATGGAATACAAAAGCTGTTACATCCTTGAATTGAGGCTAAGAATCTGCAATCACTTTTGTTGCTTGATTTGAGGAATTTTCTTGATTTGAGGATGCTTCCATTATACGCCCTCGCAAGATGGAGCTACCATCGGCTAAGCCAATCTTGTCTCTTAGAATTTCTGTCCTTTGGCGTGAGAGAGCTTTTGTTAGAAGTTCAGCTAGTTGGTCACGTGTGTTAACATGATGAACATTGAGAATTCCACGTTGGACCACATATCGGACAAAATGTCAATTTGAATATGTTCATTCGAGTGTGTTGCACAGGATTAAAACTTAGATGTGTTGCACCCAAATTATCACATAGCAGCTTGGGTTGTCCAGATAATGGCAGGCCGAGTTCCTTGAATAATGAGAGGAGCCATGATGTCTCTGAGGCTGCATTTGCAAGGCCTATGTATTCTGCTTCAGTGGATGAACGTGCTACTGCGCTTTGCTTCTTCGAACTCCAAGAGATAGGATTTACACCTAGAAAGCTGATATATGCTGATGTGGAGGTCAGATCGTCATAGTTGTTCGCCAATCCGCATCAGAGTATGTAATGAGTTCAAATATGAATTTTTTCTGATGTGAATTCCGTAAAAGATAGTTTTCTTTAAATAACGAAGAAGTCGCTTTGCAATAGTCCAACGTGTCACTGTAGGCTTGTACATAAATTTTGAAAGTTTGTTGACTGGGAAAGAAATGACCGAACGGGTGAGTGACAAATATTGAAGGGCACCAATGACAGTTCTAAAATCTGTACTATTGATGGACGAGGTGCCATCATCTAATTTGAGGGGTGTACTGGTTGACAATGGTGTTGAGATATCTTTAGCACCAGTCATATTGGTTTTGGACAATAGGTCTTGAATGTACTTGTGTTGAGACAAAAAAATTCCAGATTTTATTGAAATAACCTCAATTCCCAAGAAGTAATGGAGTTGTCCCATGTCCTTCAAAGAAAACCGATTGCCAAGTTGTGCAACAATCTTAGACACAAAGTATGTGTTATTACCAGTGATAACCAAATCATCCACTTTATATACTAATAAATAGCATATAACAAAATTCTAACTATATATAAAAAAGAGATGAGTCAGCTTTTGAATTCTGAAACCCAAGGTCCATAATGGCAAGTTTAAGAGCTGAATACAAAGCTCTCGGGGCCTATTTAAGGCAATAAATAGCCTTACGTAACCTGCACACATGATTTGGCTTGGTGACATCTTTGAATCCCGACAATTGTATCATATACATCGTCTTAGTCAATTCACCATGTAAAAAAGCATTGTTGACATCTAACTATCTTAAGAACAACCCCTGCATTACAGCCACTGTCAAGACAGTTCTAATAGTAGCCAATTTCACAACCGGGCTGAAAGTTCTTTGTAATCTTCCCATTCTCGTTGATTAAAGCCTTTTGCGACAAGCTTCGCTTTAAAGCGATCAACTGACCATCTGATTTTCGTTGCACATGAAATACCCATTTGCACCCAACATGATTGCAATTCTTAGGCGGGGAAACAAGTTCCCATGTACCATGACACATGAGTGCGGTAAGTTTATCTAACATAGCTTGTCTCCAGTGAGGTTCATGGAGTGCTTAGCCCACACAGGTTGGTTCAATGGTTGGTGGGAGTGGGTGTTTGGTTACAGAATTGAATTGTTTAGGTTTATGAATGTTATTCATGGACCGAATGGTCATTGTGTGGGTTTGGTGAGGATCAATTTGTTGTTCATCTCTAGCAATCGGGTTTTCTGAGGCGTGAGTGGTGTGTGAATTTGAGTGAGAGGGCAAGGGTTCATGTGATTGAGAGAAATTAGGGCATGGATTTAGGGATTGCGTATCTCGTAAATTAGAAGAAGAGGAAATAGAGCAGTTACCTGGGGATTATATAAAAATGGTGTTACATCTCGTTCTCGCTGGAGGTGGTTCCGGCAGAGTGATGAGTTGCACAATTGTCGCAGACGAGGGAGATGTAGTTGGTGCATGTGTTTCGACCTAATGAAGATGAGGGTGGGTTTGACTTTCGTCAAATAGAACATGTCTTGATAGATAAAGTTTTTGGGCCTTTGGGTTAAGGCATTTATACGCATTCTAGGGTGGAGAATAGCCTGCAAACCCGCAAGGAGTTGCCTTAGGCTGCAACTTATTTGTTTTATAAGGCTTCATGAAGGGGAAACGTAAGCACCCGAATTTTTTGANGGCATTTATACGCATTCTAGGTTGGAGAATAGCCTGCAAACACGCAAGGAGTTGCCTTAGGCTGCAACTTATTTGTTTTATAAGGCTTCATGAAGGGGAAACGTAAGCACCCGAATTTTTTGAGTTTGAGGTAGTTTGGTGGCTGATGAAATAATGCTTCAAATGGTGATTTGTTATGTAGGAATGGTGTTGGCTATCTATTAATGAGGTAGGCTGCTGTTGAAAAAGCACAAGACCAATATGAGAGAGATAAAGATGCATCATGAAAAGGGTAAGACCCGTTTCAACCAAATGAAGATGACGACGCTCGAATACACCATGTTGTTGTAGTGTGTGAGGAGTAGTGGTGTAATAACTTATTCCATGTATTGAAAAATATTTTTTTAAAGCCACAAATTCACCACCATTGTCCGAGTAGATACTTTTGATTTTTGATTGAAATCAATTTTCAACAAGATCTTTAAATTGAGGAAATATCGTGCTAACCCTAGATTTGTTTCCATTGGATAAAAATAGATATATTTTGTAAAATGATCAATCAAAATCAAATAATATTTTGAGCCATCAAAGCCAATTTTATTTGAGGGACGTCGGTGTAAATTAAAGCAAGTAGTGCATGGCTTTGAAAGCTATTGATCCGAAATAGTTGTTTGTGCGCTTTATTGATTGAACAGGAGGTACAAAGAGGAGAACCATGTTCTTCTTTCATTATTGAAAGTGAAATTTTTGTAACAAGATTATGAACTATTTTATAATACAGATGTCCAAGACGTTTGTGCCACCCATCTATTGAGGTTCGTTCATGCACATTTGCAACCATTTTTGGAGATGCTTTCACCAGTGATTCCGGAAGAGTATAAACACCATTTTCACACGTACCTTTGAGTAGAACCGGCCCCGTGATCTTGTACTTAACAAGGATAAACAAGGGATGGAATTCAACAAAAAACATTATTTTGCGAGGTAAAGTGATGAATATAAATTAGATTTTTGCGGATATTAAGAACACAAAGTGTGTCATTTAAATGAAAGGTGTGTGTGGGTGATTTGAGAACCAGTGAGCCAATGTGTGATACATGCAAACCTAAACCGTCACCTATGACAACTTCATAGTGCCATCGTATTCAGAGTGAACAGATAAATTGGCCAAGTCACCAGTGATTTTGATTTCATAAAATCAATTTTTGTACAATCAATAAAGTATGAAAAATTTGAGTTGATTTCATCCTCATTGAATGCCACATC